CTTTAACATTTTTATTTTTATTTAAAAATAGTCTTTAAAAGCCTTCCAGTCTCCAACGAGTCTCACTTCACTTGTTCATCATGGCTCTCGTTGATTTGTTTTGCAGCAATGTTTCAGGCTGTGAGGGCCCTTATGATTGTGGGCATTGTCCTGGGCATCCTTGGCCTCTTTGTGTGCATTTTTGCTATGAAGTGCATCCGAATTGGCACCATGGAGGATTCTGCAAAAGCCAATATGACTCTGACCTCTGGCATCATGTTTATTATTGCTGGTGAGTGAGTTGTGTCTTCCATATACAAAACATAGTGCCTGAAATTGAGGACTGAGCAAGGCTTCACGCCTCTCTGGTTATATGCTTTTCTGCTGGTACGAGTTGGAATTTTGTAGTGTAAGGTTTTATTCTTACTTCTGGAATGTGAAAGTGTAGAAATTGTTGCAGAAATGCAAACACTCTGTGCATCTCAAAGAACCAAGTTGTGTGCTATGTGAGTCTCAGACCATCTTTCTGTTCAACCCCAGGTCTGTGTGCCATCACTGGAGTGTCTGTGTTTGCAAACATGCTGGTCACAAACTTCTGGATGTCCACAACCAACATGTACCAGGGAATGCAGAATGTCCAGAATAGGTAGGTGCTCATCTAGCTCAGGATGAGCCAAAGGAAGAACAAACACTGGGTGCTGCTTAGTCTGGTCCCAGGACATGGAAGATTCAATGAGCCTCTGCATTCAAGATAAGGGTAACTTGTCCAAGAAAAGTGACTGGGAAGTCTGCAATTATGCAGCTCAAGGAGGGATTGGGGATCCCATGAAGGATCGCTCTGCAGGTGGGATTGTGTTCATGGGAACTTCTGCAGGGCCAGAAGAGAGAATTTTCAGTGTGTTTCAGAAGAAATAGCCTGGAGCACTGTCACAGCACTAATCAGATACACTGCTGTTTTGTAGGTACACCTTTGGCTCAGCCCTCTTTGTTGGCTGGGTGGCGGGCGGCTTGGCCCTCGTAGGAGGAATCATGATGTGCCTTGCTTGCAAAGGAATGATTCCAGAAGAATCCCGGTAAGTCTGGCTGTGGTGGATACAGGGAGGTGCTATGTGAAGCCTTGGATGTCAGGATAGCAGGCGGCCATCACATCATAAGACAGGTCTAGGCATAATGCCCTCATTGCAAATGTTATTGTGATGATACATCTGCTTGCTTTATGTAATGGGACACAAGTGGCCATTTCTCTTCCTTAACTGCATGACTTGAAAACAAAAAGAGAGTAGGAGAGATAGCCCTTAACATCCAATAAACCATTCTAATATTTGTAATGTGCTGGCCAAGTTGGCCCTACTAACTGCAGCTTTGATTGCAGATGGTGTAACAGATCACCATAAAGTAAAGACTGCATCAGCTGAGCTATGATTTACTTCATGTAGGGCTTTGGACACCTGCACAGTTGGCTGTAAGTCATTCACTCAGATGAGGATTTACTCAAGAAAATTTAAGTTTATGAGAACATATGAAAGAGAGCCTTACAGCACGTCGTAGAATCATAGAATCACAAGGTTGGAAAGGACCTACAAGATCATCCAGTCCAACCATCCATGGACGGTTGGCTCTGGGCACTGAGTGATGACACACTATGAAGTTGCCTGAAATCCATCAGCAAATGGGGACAGAAGGTGCAATACTGGGTAGTCAGAGGGCCTCCAGTGGCTAATGCCATCTTTCCTGTCTTTCAGTTACAAGGCGGTGTCCTACAACGCGTCAGGACGGAACATCTCCTACAGAACAGGACCGTATAAAGCTGGCTCAGGGTACGAGCCTGACACGAAGACTAGGAAGGGTCCAGGGTATGAAGAGGCTCCTCGGAGCGAGGATGCAGGACGCTCGTACCCTTCAAAGTACGACTACGTCTAGTAGACTTCCTAAGCTTGAGATGCGCTGCGTTTTATAGAACGTTTTTCACTTTAGACACAAAAAGTATACGCAAATAAGGCAGACTGTAAATAGGATTTTGTTTTCTATTGTTTTTCCCCTCCTCAAAAATGGTACCCTTTTGTTCTTCTGCCTGTTGGCATAGCCATCGTGAGGAGACCTGTAACAAAAGTAATGTCTTTTTTCTGTTCTTGGAATACAACTGTTTCCTCATGTTTTACATATAAACTCTGGCAGTCAGGACCAGGATTCTGCCTTGTGTCATCTACTATTTCTGCTAATAGGTTTAAATTTTCATTACTGATGACCCTGATAGAGTCTGTAGTCCAAACACAGTCACTTGGATGCCTGTGGATAAAAAGTACATAATGATGTTGCATACAAAAAAGCCTTAAGAAATCAGGAAGTTGAATCACACACATTATGAAAAGCAGAAATTACGTTATGGGAGTCTTATGTATTATTTTGTTGTGTATTGTAAGAAAACTCAGCTGTGTCCCTTTGGCTACAGCCAATGCATGCAGAACCAGCAGCCATGGCATTTTCCTCTCTGGCAGTGTTTCTAGTCAGACTCACCTTTATTTTGCTGGTGGTACTACAGTGCTGATCTGCTGTGATATTTAATCTGATTTATTTTACTTAGACATTTGCTGTTTCCCGTGATACCAAAGTGTATTTATTTCTTCTGATCTCATTGGGGAATATATATAATCCATTGTTATTCCTATGCTAGATATTGGATACAATAGCTGAAAACCTCTGTGTGTGACCAGAGTTCCTGCAGATGTCATCATTAATGAAACCAGGAGAATTTCTCATTTAGAATTAATTACAGTTACAATTGAGCAGGAATCCCAGGGAGCATTAGATGTGAAACTCTGCAATAACATCTTTCTTGTGTTAATTCTTCTCCAAATGATGTGAAGATTAAGTCCTTAGTGAGACGCTGCCTCTTCTAGCCAACCTGCAAGAGGGGATGTTTATTGGAAGGGGTCAGAGGAAGAGAGACCAGAGCTCTAGGAAAACATCTTGGAGCAAAGGGCTTATCTGAGAGATAAGTTAGGGAAAAACAGGTGTCTGAATCCTCAAAAGTAGCTTTTTTGATAGACTTCTGCAACTTCTGCTCTTGTCCCACTTGTAACAACAGTAAGTTGCCAGGATTTGCTGGCAGATTTGATTTGGGTTGTTCACATTCTGAATGCATCACAGATAGAGTTGACCATTCCCCCAGAGTATGACCTCTGCTAGGTCTCCCTCTGCAGCAAGCATCTCCTGTGGCTTGTGGGACAGCATAGTGGGCTGTCCTGCTCAACACCATTACTCCTGGTGAGCACAGTCCATACTCCATACCCATCAGCTCTCCGTGCCCATCAGCTCTCCATCACTGCATGGAGTCATCTTCAGCACAGATCCAGGAGGAGGGGAGTCTGAATCTCAAGCAGCTCAGCAAGAGGGGGAGGGAGTGACACGGGCAGCATGACTGTGGAGAGAGATGGAAAGAGCTTCTACCCAACAAGGAGGTCCTGGCCACAACAGAACCCCAGCAGGACTCTGGTCCTTGCTGCTACCTGGGTAAATAACTGCCTCTGCTGGTGTTGGTGTTGACTCCTATTCAGAGCAGAGCATTTGTTTTATGGATATGTTTTGAAAGGAGACCGATTCAGTTGTGCAGACGTAAATCCTGTCCTCATTAAAAACACTTACTCTTCTAAGTGGATTTTTCCCTTTTTCACATTATAGACTTAGCTTTTTTTTTGCCTTTTATTTGCATGCTGGATTTTTTGTCTTGTTTTGTTGGTTGCTTTTTTTTTTACTTGAATATTAAAAATAGAAAATGCCTTTATGACCTCAAATTGCTGTTTTCATTTTGTCATGAACAAAAGCTGGCAGCTTTGCTTCTCAGCTAAACTTGTACTACGTAGGATAGTTGGTCAACATCTGCCCAGCTTCAAGGGAGTAATTAAACACTTCTAAATACCTCATTGTTCATAGGAGGCCAAAAAAATGGTTGGTATGCTCTCACTCATGCCACTTCTACTGGAAAGGGGCTGAAAAGCATAAGAATGTTTAATTTAGATAGGAGACGCTTAAGTGGTGGTTAGGTGGAGGTACACAAGGTAATGAAAAATGCAGAATAACCAGGGGAAGAAAAAATATACTTTTCTCACTAAAGGAAAGAAAGGCATGCGTGCAAAATTACAAGGATGCAACTTTGAAAGTTAGATTTTATTTTTATGCAATGCAGATACTCTGGCAAAGGCGCCGAGCTGACTATCTCTCAGCCTCACTTAGATGTGAGCAAGCACACAGATGACAAGATTGCAGGTAGGTGCACTGTATGGAGTGACAGAGAGCTGAGACACAGCTGGTTCCTCTGATTCCCGCCCTCAGTAGATGTCTAATCTTTCAGCACCAGTTTTCATTTCCTTACCCTGGCTGAAAACAGTATCAAAAATGTTAATACAGTGAACTCCGCTGGATAAATCAAATCCTGAAGATGAGACTCGTGTATCCGTGTGCCTGTTTATGGAGCAGCACCCAATATGATGGAAGCTTGCTCTCACTCCTGAGCTGGCCAGGAGGGACCTGGTTACTTGGTGGGTACCACCATGAGTGGTGATCTTTATGCATTGAGGGAGAACCAGCACCCATAGCCACGCAGCTGCCTCTGCTCAGCAGAAATCCCTCAGGGTTTTGCCACCTTGGGAGGTGGACCCAAATATCTCCTTCCGAGCTGATCTGTCTCCTGGAAGCACTGTGGCTGAAGCTATCTGCTAAGGGAAAGCTCTCGGTGTTTGGTGAGAACAAAGTTCCAGTTTCCCACCTTTCCTGTCCAAACTGACTGGCTAAATCCATATATATTTGTATATGTGCTGAACGTTTTCTATTCTTGGGCTTTGAGAATAAAGAGACATTGAAAAACCCTCGAGAATGACCCCCTCCAATGTCATCCGTGTGTAAAAGGACGCAAAATCCTCCTCCAAGCGCTCAGCTCTATGGGAACTGTTGAGTCATGGCCTGACCCACTGATTGAGCACCTGGGGAAAGGAGCCGGTCATCCCTGGGAGCACAGGTGAAGGCAATTCAGCTGTGTGACTGGAAGGGGTGGAGCCTGGCTGCACCTCTCTTAGACCTCATTTAAGGGCTGATTGCCATTGGGAAGGGTCTCTCTCTGGAGGTTCTTCCTTGGAAGAGTTCTCCCCTGTGAGCTGTGATCTTCAGAGATGGGTGAGCAGTCTTTTTTTTTCCTTCATTTGTAGCAACTTTCTATAACTCTTTCTATAACTAACTTTCTATATGTTGTTATACCTCTTGTATTATCTGTCCATTGTGTTGATCTAATTGTTGCACCAACTCATGGTGCTGAGAACACACCACGTGGGGGGATGAATGGCCAGTCTAGAGGCAGCCTGTGGCCACCCATCTGTAGAGCAGGAGGACACTTTCCCCTCAAGGATGTGAATTTAGGCTGTGAGACACAGCAGCAGGTGCAAAACTGAGCAGCACTCTGCTCTTGTCTCCCCAGAAGTGATGGAGAGGTTTGCTCTGCAAGAGCCTTTGGTTGAGTAAAGCCTAGTGATAACTGGAACCCAACTCCTCCACACCTTTCTCTCTGACAAATTATCACAGAGTTGTAGAATCATTAAGATTAAAATAGGCCTCTCAGATCACCAAGTGCAACCCCAGCCCATCCCACCATGTTGCTGCCCACATCCCTCAGCGCCACATCTCCACAGCTCTGAACATCTCCAGGCATGGTGATTCCCCACCTCCCTGTGCAGCTGTGCAGTGCCTCGCTGCTCTTTCTGAGGAGGGATGTTTCCTAATACCCAACCTGATAATAATTCAGAGGGAGAAGGTCTGCCAATTATTATGCCTTTACTGAGAGTAAGACATGGGACAAAGGATGCATCTTGCTAGAGGTGCAGAAGTGGTTGCTGATGTGAGTGTGCACATACTCGGAAATGGTTTTGTTTCCATAAACTTCATCATCTTGTGAAAGTGCATGTTCTCTCCCAGAGCAGCTAATTAAATATAGGCTTGTTTAATAAAGCAGATGCTGAAAGACTGTGTGTATTATCTGCCAGCAGAGCTCTGTATAGGTTCTTTCTGAGCTTCAGCAACACTTATAAGTATATGAGAGCATGGCAGATTTGCATGGACTTTGACCATGGGAAGCAAAGACCCATATCTGAAGCTACAAATTGGACCATGAGATAAGAACTCTCCTGAAACCTATATGCAATTAAAAGCCCAATCTTCCTTCCTATAGTGACAAGGTTATTGCTTTTATATAGCTGAACAGAGATGAATGAGCCTACGGATTAATAACACTAAGATTTATGACACTGTGCTTGCCCCGAATATTATGGGAGAATAGCTTTCTGGGTGAGATATTACTACTGAATAAATTTGATAGAATTTTTCCTTTCCTTTATTTTTTTTCAGCTTTGTGTTATTTAGGATAGCTGTGTTGCATTCACACCATTAGTGCCGTGGTTTGGTTCTTGGCTAATTGTTCCATGTGTATTCATGCTTTACAAGAGGGTTATTAATAAATGGAGTCCCACAAAGACAAATGCCATTGATGAAAAACAAAACACAAAGTGTATGATTTGAAGAGCATTAGCACTCCAGAGCCACCAAGCTCCTGGCAAAGGTTGGTCACTTCTGTGTATTTGTGCTGCATTTCCCTTTAGAAGGGGTTGTGCCTGCTCCCTGAAGTACCTGCTGTGTGGAAGCAGCTTGTGCAAGCATCACTTGCTTTTCTAAACCCAACCCCAGGTTCCTCTTGGACCCTTCAGCATGCTATGGCACAGTGAAAATTGTGTTTTTGGAGGGGAACCCTGTGAGAATTGAAGGGGTGGGAGGTATGGAGGTGGAGTGGGGTGGTGGGTCAGGGCAGGGGGCTGCTTGCCCTGGATAAAAACACAACTGCAGCCCACAGCCAGGCAGGATTCCACCTGAGGGGGAGGTGCAAAGGATGGAGAGGGAGGGGGTACGTGTGGGTGCTCTGCAAGGTGCTGCTGGAGGGCGGGATGCTGTGGTTTGCACAGCTGCAGGCAGCAGCCTCCCCATTGTTTCCACTGTTAACAAAGTCACATCGGTTCGTGGCATTGTAGCATCTCATCCTTACAGGGCAGGGGAAATGAATTTTGGAGTCAGCCTTTGTCTTGCTGTCGCTTTTCCCATAGGAGAAGCTGAATTTGTTTCCTTAATGCAATCACAAAGATCTTTGTGCGGAGGAATTGTCAGAACACCTGTCTGCCTATTGAAACCACTTGTGTATGTGGCATTCCTCGATGCTGCTGCATGCTCTGCTGCCTTTGTTTCTGTTGGCTTTCTTTTACATCCGCCTGCTTGGGTGCATCCCTTCTGCTCTATGGGTTTGGCAGTGTGCAGTATGGAGTGAGTGCATGGCAGTACCAATGGGCACAGGGAGCACGTTGGGTCCCCACCAGTGCAGCCCAGTTTGGCACCAGCAAGAAAAGGTAGGGAAGGACAGTGCTCTAAAGGGGCTGCAAAGATAGTTTTTTGGGTTTTTTTTCGTTATTGTTTTTATTTTTTTTTTCTGGGGGAGGGAGGTGCTGGGGAGGACCTTGGCTCTTCCTTCTGCTTGCTCTCTGGGGCAGAAAATAACTTTCCCCATCAGCTGTGAATGACATCAGCACAGCCCATGGGTACGTGGGCCAGTTTTCCTACCAACCCTTGCATGGGAGCAAAGGTTCACCTGACCTGCAGCTATTTCACAGCAAAAAAGGCTCATTCCTTCCTCTGAGACACTAATCCCATTTCTCTGAATGAGGTGAAAACATCCCATCTTGATTTAACTCATTAAAAGCAGTGCTCAGTACAATCAAGCTCACCCAAAAAAAACCCAGTTGTTAAACAACCCGTGAGATAACACATCTGGCAGTAGCATTGTAACAAATAATACAGACCAGGTACTGCCCTTCTTTCAACTTGAAAGATTAAAATGGGAACATTTCCCTCTCAAGGTATGCAGCCACACACTGACTGTATGGGAGTGCAGCTGATCATGCATCCCTGGGGACATGTGGACTCACAAAATGTGTGGAGTGTTTTTGTGTGTTGGAGCAGACTGTTATGTGGCAGGCACTTCTGCCATTTGATGAACTTAAAGGAATTCACCCTGTTCTGCTTAGCCTGGCTGGGCTTCCTTATCCCTGCCATTTAAATGCTCTTGCAAACGTTTGCAGCTAGTAATGGGAATTTATATATGTTTGAGTTTGAGTTGAAGGTGGAATGTGCTGGAAAACAGGAGCAGCTGAGAAAGTGTATTTTTCGAACAGTGAAAAAACAAGAATGCTAGAAGAGTACAAAATTTGGGGAACTCGCTTCATTTCTCCAGCCTTGCTCAGTGTTATGTATGTGCAAATTGTCATCCATTGGTTCACGGTTCCCACTGATTCAAGAAGGGGAGAAGGGACTGCAGGTGCGGCTCTGAAGGCTCCTGGAACCGTAGGATGCTGTTTGCAGTTCGTTTGTGGTCTTGTGGCACCATCCAGTGGCTGCTGGCAGAGGACTCTCATTTCCTTGTTAGCACCAAGTGTTCCTTTGCACGGTGCTTGGCTGAATGGTAACCAATGGTAACCAATGGTCCCTTGTGTGTCACCAGCCACTGGGACTGGTGGTCAGGTCCTCCAGGAAGGCCTCTGGGTCACTGCAGGGAGCTGCATGATGGGCACAGGGAGGGTGAAGGGGAGCAGCAGGGCTGGATGCTCAACTCACGTTTGATGGCAAAACCAGGATGCCCCACAGAAGATCTTTTCTCTATTTCCATGGCTTGTAAATCTCATGTTGCTTTTTTTCCCCACTTTGGTGAAGGCCCAGAACTTCATCCTCATTGTAATAAGAACTAGGAGAGGAGCCAATGGCCAAATTTCCGTTGCTGTAATTCTGAACTCCTTGCACGTGGACTAGTTTGTGGTACTGCTAATGGGTATGAAGAAGCTGTATGGAAATTATGTCCAAGAACAACCCTATGGCCATTCATGTGAGATACCTGGAGTTTATTGATGGGTTGGCTGGCTGGCTCTGGGGGATGTTGAGCTCAGGGATGGGATTTCATCCCACTGGCTGGTCTCTGTGTTTTCACATCCAGACGTCTCTCCAAGGGCTTCCCTTTTATGGACACAGCCGTCCCTGCACAGAACACAACAGGTTAGATGATAATTTGGAGGTGGCACAGCTTAATTAGAAGGGATGCAATGGGCAGCTGCCTAGGGGTGGCTCCACTGGATAAGAGAACAGCATCCCATGGCCATCAGTAGGTGGCCAAGAAGGGTACCCACAGCTGGCATCGAGAGAGAACAGGTCATCTCACCTGGGATTATGGAGAGTTGTCGAGGCAATAGAATGCTGGGCTTCTTGAGTTGCCTGACTCTCTTCATCACCATTTGGATCAGCTCATCCCTTAGGTGGAGGAGACCAGGACTGTTCTTAGCCTTCTGCAGCTGCTGAAGCCTGAGCACAACCTGGAGGTGTTGGTAGGTCTGGCTGGAGATCCCCTTTGCAGCCTAAAATACAGGGTGGTTGGGAGGCCCAACATTGTGATTCCTCGCTTGCACTGTCTGCATCTCACAAGCAACCTGTGAACCCCACACAAGCCCTTACCCACACCCCACTATTTCATCAATGTAACACTCCTATCCCTCCCATAATCCGTCCATGAGTCTTTAGCTATCGTTTGCCCTTGCAGCAGCTCTACTAGGTGCTAGGTGGTGGTATTGCATTGCAGCACAGCAAGGTGTAGGAGGTACTGTTTAATATGCTCAGCATGAAAAGGACTCGGCCAGTGAAAGTCCCCTTGAAGTCCCTGTGACAGAGGCTGCTGTACCCTCACGCACCCTTCTTCCCTGAAGAGAGGAAGCCCTGAATGGTTTAGCATATGAAAGGCTCCTTGTAGTAAAGGTATTTATTAATAAACTGTCTCAGAGTTGTGAGCACTGCAGTTTACTCCTCATGCTACCAGCTGGTTCTGCCTCCACCCTCTCATTTGCCTCTCAGAGTGTGAGTGTTCCAAGCAGGGGTTGCTTTGCTGCTAATTTTGGTTGCTCCAAAAAAATTATATCTGTTCAGAGCAGTCTTTGATCTGCTCTGTACTGCACTGGCACTGCAAATGCTGGCAGCGAATGCACAGGCTTACCCTGCTGATCCCCATGCTCTCCAGCCTTTCCTCCAATGTTTCCTCCAGGATGCGCCGAAACTTCTTCAGGAGGTTTGGTTTTCTCCACAGAGCTTCCAGCAGCCATTTCTTCCCACTCTGAGCATCATCTGCTGTGTCTGGGTGTAGCAGAGCATGGGTTGTGCCCCAGTGAGGTGGCTGGGCCCTTATCCCCTCTGAGAACATGGATTCCACCAGTCCCATAGCCCAAGCCACCCAAGAGCAGGCTTCTGAGTTCTCTCAGCAGAGGGATGTGGTCTATCAGGGACACCCATCTCCTTCCTCTAGCTTCCATTTCTCAGAAACAACTCTTCCAAAATCCCCCCGCAGCAATAAGCTGCCAGAGTCAATTTTCTGGGGTGAAGCATCCAACCCAGGGCTAGTCATGGTGCTGTCATACTTGGCATGGAGGTCACCAGCAACATTATCCCCTCTATCCCCATCCCAGCGTTCCCTATATGAAAATAGTTACACCTCCAGTACCCACCTCCTTCTGAGGACTCTTCAGAAACCACTGCTCTGGTCACCTGCTGGGTCACTGCAGGAATGAAAACAGCCTATGAAGGGTAGGGGAGATGAAGCTCCAGTGCAGAACTGAGCTCCAACACCACCTTGCTTTGCTAAATGGAAAGCACAGAAATATCTGTTCCTATAGGGATCCAGGGATATCCCAAATCCAGTGCCTTGGAGAGCATCCTTGAGGGAAACCCTGTGGTGCTCAGAAGCAGCACTGTCACCCTCTGAAGCCACCACCTGGAGCATGTCAGAGCCATCCCCTGGGATGTGTGATGTGCTCCATGGATATCTGCTAACAGCCATCTGTGTCTAAAGGCCTTTCTTTTTGTTTTTCTGAGGAGCGGTGGGAGCTGAGAAGTCTCAAGTCTTTCTCCCTAGGACCTGATTATAGAAAATCAAGGCTGCAAAGAAGAAACCACAGCATGTCTCAGCTCCTTATTTTCATGCAAATAACCGCTGGTATCATTTTTGAGGAGGCAAGGTCATTGCTGTGCGCTCTTGATTGAAATCTCATTCCTTCGGGGCATGGCTACAATGCAAAACCAGCTCAAGAAGCAGATGGTTTTCTGCTGTGCCCAGTGCTGCTGCTGGCAATCAGGGGGCTGTGAGGTGTCCACCCATGGCTTCATGCAAGAGGACACAGAGCCAGCTCCCCAAGGATGTCCCCACAGCACAATCTTGTAATGGGAGACTGAGGTAGGCATGCTCCAACCAACTGCTAGCTATGAAACATTTATTCAGACTCTGATTTATTCACTTTTAAAAAGCAGTCATTACCTTTGGGCTTATTTGCAGACAGCAGCTTGGTCTGTAAAGAAGAAGAGAGATCACAAGAGAAATGCTCAGGCCTTTTCTGAGTGAGGTGCCAAGGAGATGGGGAGTCCCCATCCCTGCAGGTGTTCCAGAACCATGGAGATGTGACACTGAAGGATACAGTCAGTGGGCAGTTCTTACAGGCATGGGCACCTGATTGCCCTTGTGCTTGGGGAAATTCAGCTTTCCCTTGGTCCTGAAGGACATCTGCCATTTTAAAGGCGGTGCCTTTCCCAACCCACTCAACACTCAGAGGTGTTGCCATGTCAAAGCCTTTTTCTTTACGGTGCAAGAAGGCAGCTGATGTGTGGCAAAATGTTTATTTGGTGCTTTAAATGCTTTTCCATGCAGTGAGCTGCCACTGAGCTCCAGTTAGGATGCATGATTTGGGACCATGGCATGCCCTGGCACCTTCCTGGTCCCATTTCTGGGCTTACTTCTACCCAAGCTGACACGAGACGTACCCAAAGCAGATGCACATAGAGGTGATGGATGGGATGGGCAAGGACACATGCTCACCTGCACTGCTGTCATTTCCAGCTCAGAGTCATCATCCTGCAGGGTCCCCAGGTTAGACACCACTGCTGCTTTGGCCTGTAGCTCCTCCAGCTTCTGCAGTGTGGAGGGAAGGAACTGTTTGTCCCAGTGGGTCTCAGGAAATTCTGCATTCCTCCCAGGCCCACCTTGGCCAGCTGCTGCCTCTGACTCCAAAATGCATGCATGCCCCAGGACAACAGGGGGCCCTTTGGGCTATGAACCTGTACAGCCACCTGGACCTGGTAAGGCAGCAATCCACATCCCCTTGCTGTCCCCTAGCTCACCCCTTCCATAGCACTGCTCCTGCTGGCAGCATCCTGCAGCTCAGTGAAGAAGCGCTGCCTCAGGCCATCCATCTCCACGTGCAGCTTCATCCTTTCCTCCTCTTTCCATCTTTCAAAATCTCTCCTTTCCTCCACTTCCCGCTGATGAGCTCTCTTCTCTTCCTAAAGGGAGTGGAAAATGGGAGCAGGAGATGTATGGAGCAGCAGTGCCCAGGTTGGGTGAGGGTTAGGACACTGCCCATAGGCAGTGATAGGAAGTTTCAGGGGCAAATATTCCAAAGAAGTGAGCACAGATCTCACGATGAAATATTCTTCTGTACCATTTTTCACCTGTGCTGTCTCATCACATCTCTTCCTTCCTTCCTGCCATACCTGCTCCCTGCGCAGCTTCTCTGCCTCCCTCCCTGCTGCCAGCTGCTGTTGCATCTCACGCAGTTTCGCCTTCAGCTCCTCAACCTCCTCCTCCATACGCTCCACCTTCTTGGCCTCTGCAAAGCCTGGGGAGCAGAGCCACTGTGAGCGAGGGTGAGATCTGCCCGCTCCAGCAGCACCCTGCAAAAGCACCAAGCAAAGTCACTGTGGGGTGTAGGGCTGTAGGAGAAGCTGGCTGAGCTGCAGGTACATTCATGAGCCATGTGTGTGCACAAACACCCTGCCCAAAGGGAAGGCAGTGAGCAGCAATCATCCGTAAATGTTCACAGAAACACAGAAGAAATATTAAATTGTAGGGAATCACCCCCAGTGCTCTCCCTCCTCCGGTTGCTGGCACTGCATGTGGGCTTGCAGGAGGGCAATGCTCATGGAAGTTTTGTCACAGAGGTGGCACTGGGTGGGGAGAAGGGTCAAAAAAAGCACTTGGGTCACAGAAAGGGGCTTCCCCATGTTCCTGGCATGGCAAAGCTTTGCTGCTAAATAAGGAGAGGGGGAGACCTCAAAAGAGGTAGCTATTGTGCTGGAGGTACACAGGTGTCAGGCGTGTCTTCTGGCAGAAGCCTAATGGGAAGGCCTTAGGGTTCTAGGGTTAGGGTTAGAATATGGGATGAGGCACAAGCCATGGCTTTCCCCAGAGACTAGAAAACAGAGTAGCAGTACAGTGCTGCCTGTAGCAGGCTCTGCTCCAGCCTCAAGTTCTTGCAGGCTGTGTGAACCTGAGCCACCTAGTTTGGGTGGATTTTACAGTCTGGGAGCAAATGAGAATGCTCACTCATCAATGATGTGGACAAGGAGGCATGACCAGCAGCTTTACTGCTGAAAAGGTGCAAAAAACCTCAGTGGGAGGATAAAAACCTAAATGGGCACCAAAACCAACAGCCTCCAAAAGTCTGTCACTGGGCCATAGGAGACCAGTCACCGTGGCACAGGTATTCCCAGGACACATGAATCTTTGGGATCTCCCAAGCCAGCCCTCTTAACCCCTCCTTCACACACCTTGCAGTAGCCACTGGGTCTGGCTTGCAGGAGGAGCTGGGTGGCCACCAGCTTCTTCCACCTCCTGCTCTCTTCCTTCTCACCCCGGAGCCTCGTTGCCTGCTCTGATGCCAGACCCTGGGCATGAGCCAGCTGTGCACGGGCATCCTGCAGGTGCTGGGCATGCACAGCCAAGCTGTCAGCCAGGTGCTTCTGGCAGTGCAGCAGGTACTCAATGCTCAGCTGGGCCAACCTCAGCACCGTCAGCAGCACAGGGTCGGCCGGCTGCCTGCAGTGGGGGCACCGCTCCGCATCCATGTTACAGAAGGTGATGTTGGAGATGTGCTCCTGCAGCACGGCCACGTCCCCCTCCCGTGCCACTCGCTCCACATCCACAGCGCTGAGGCGATGCCGATCCATGGCAAGGCAGCGGGGCTGGAAGCAGAAGGTTTTGGGTGGGATGGTGAGTGCTGGGGGTGCTGTCAGCATTGCCATGGCTGGAAATGGCTGGAAGGAAGAAGGGGTGCATTAAAGACTGGGTGCGCTGATCCTCCAGCTCCAGTGCTGTGGTGAGAGGCAGTGTTTTTCTCCCCATTCTCCCCATTTGCAGCTGCTATCTACTGTTTTTGCCAAATTCTGATAGAAGGGAAGGGAGGGGAAGGGGAAGGGGAAGAGGAAGGAAGGGGAAGGGGAAGGAAGAAAGAGGAAAAGGGGAAAAAGGGAAGGGAAGGGAAGGGAAGGGAAGGGGGAGGAAGGGGAGGAGGGGGAGGAGGGGGAGGAGGGGGAAGGAGGAGAAGAAGGATTCCAGTTTATTTACCATCTGCTTTTGGTAAGGGACCAGTTTATTTACCATCTGCTTTTGGTAAGGGAAAGTTTTCAGACAACTGCCACTCTTTAAAATAAAGCGTTGTGAATGAATCTGCAAATCCTTTTACCCAAACACTGGAATTCACGTGTTTTAGGGTAGTCCCATGCTTATACCATTAGCAGCACTGCAGTGTCAAACAACCTGATCCCTTGCATCAGACAAAGAGGATATGCCTGAGTAGGTATGTATGCATACTTATATATATATAGGTCTAAATATAGCCCTGACTCATAGCTGCAAATTGCGTAGATCTGCAGGGGAGCAGCGTACAGCTCCTGCAGGTGAGGCTCTGTTGCATGAATTAACCTCTGCTAAACCAGACCAAGTTTCTGCCCCACTGGAAATGTGAAAAGGTGACCAAGCAACAGCTGTGACCACAATGCCCCCCCCCTCAGTTATTTCCCTGTTCATGGAACACTTTACAATCCTCCAACGATCACCTAACCGCAGGCTATGTTACACAACCTTGTTAATATTAACAAGGGTTTCACACACCAAAGGAGCAGTGTTAAACCCGGACCTGCTGCTTAGCAGCGTGCCTGGGATTGCCCCACAGCCTGTTTCAGGCATGCCTGATTAGTTTTCCTTCCTCCTCATATAAAATGCCATATATGAGGTCTTCAATGGTGCAACCACTGCAGCAAGCCAGTAACCCAGCTCTGAAGGTTTATTTTCCTTCAGTTCTTTCTTTCATTTGCCTGGGATGGGTGTCTAGCTGGTGTAAAAGTATTCTGACTTCCACACTGCAATGCAACGTAGCACCCACTGATGTGATGGACCTGCTGGTCAGAACTGCCCTCACCACCCCCAGTGGAAGTGTTGATGCTCATCCACTATGACTCAAATTGTGCGTGCTGGGTGAAGAAGACACCAGCCTTGAGGGATGCAAGTCCATCCCCAAGGTAGCAGCTAGGACCACACAGCCAAGCTTACACAGTCAGTGCATTTACATGCACCATTTCCACTCCACTGTGCAAAACCCAACTCCGTCAAAGTGCTGATGGAGACAGCCTTCAGAGAGATCGCTGTGCCAGCTCATGGCTGCTAGACCAGGCTATTGCTTGGTTCTCTTATGTACAATTCTCATCTTTGGCAAGGAATTCTCTCCCCCTTTCCTCCTCCACCCTTCCCAAACTCTTAGGTGCCAGCATCCCTCTGCTGGCACTGGGAGATGCAGGGTCAGGGGACCTAGCCTCTGCTCTTATGCCTTCTGGAGCAGCTCCCCCCACTCCTCCAGACCTTGCCCACAGGCAGCATTCACTTCCCTCCCTTCGTCAGCCTCTCCTCCTGCAGGAAAGCAGCTGAGCAGAGCCTCGGAAATGTTTTTTGCGTGAGCTAACGAGCTGAGAGCTGGAGCAGCACGTCCCCCAGTGCCGCTCCTCCCTTCCCTTAAGTAGGAGTTTGAAGAGTCGGGGCAGAAAAATGCCAAAAAAAAAAAAAAAAAAAAAAAAAGCAAATACTCACTTGTTGCTAGAGACAGGGAGAGAAACTGAGGAGCAGGGACAAGGGTAGGGACAAAAATGGAACCAGAGCAGAGAGAAGAAGCCCGGAGCAACGAGAGACTGCTTGAATCCTCGCAGACAGGGAGGATTTCCGTGCTGTAACCCTACACTCCTCCCATGCTGGGCCCCCCCCCCCCCCCATCTTGTGACACTTAAAACCACGGAGAAAAAGCAGCTCCCGATGCCCAAATTGGACATTGGTGTGGGCAGCATCGTGAAACCCACTGCCCTGCGCTGAGCTGTGTGAGCTGCACCCCAGGAAGGGGAGCAGCAAAATGTCCCCCCGTGGCCTCTGCTGGCCGTCAGCATGGACTCAGAGTGCACTGATTGAGTGCTCACTGGAGGATGGGGCTGAGCCCATGGGGCTGGATGGAGACCCAAACCCGCCATCCAAATGCATAAACCCCAAGTGTGCGGAGAGCTTGCTTCTCCCTATCAGTCCTGCTGCCACTTCTAGCTGCAGAAAGCAGGCTGCAGATTGCAGCACGCTCATTAGCTGCTGTGTTTACAGAAGATAGCATTGTACAGATGGCAAACATTCTATGACGGGCAAGCCATCCACCCCCGCCTTTCTGCTCCCAACCTAAAAACAGCTGCTCAGACAGACGCAGAAGAGATTTGCAAGCTGTGCCTTTTCAGGGAGTTGGGTGGATTTGCATTGCTCTTACAGGAAGAAAATAAAAGTCAGTGCAAGAGAATGCATTGCTTTCCTGAAGCATATAAGGTCGCTGGGTGCTCTGATGGGATTAAATGGGGTCTCCCTTATTCTGTTTCCCTCTGGATGGCCCCAAGAATGGAGCAGCATAGAGGGAGCTGAGAGAGGCTGGTGGGGAGATGTGGCCCATGGGAATCCTGGCTTTTGGCAGTAGTTCCATGTGAGAACCATCACCTTCAGGGTGAACGGGGTGCCAGTGAGAAGGAAGGAGATAAAAATGCAAAGTGGGAACCCAAAAGAGATATGAGGAAGAAATAGGTGACAGCTGGACAAAGGTGACCTTCCTAGCACCTCCTGAAATGTCTTTCTAGGGCTGTTATTCCCCATTTTACTGGTAGCAGAAACCCATTGATTTCAATGGGACTGGGGAGTGCCAGCAGGCAGGTCCCATCAGTTCTTGGTGCCCCAGCACCTCCTCTTCAAGAGATGCAACACTTTGCAGCCAGAGCTGACTCCAGAGCCTGAGGAAGGGCAGCCTCATTCTGAAGGAGCCAAAGATGTGTGAGAGTGCAAATATGTCAAAAAAAAGGGAATCTTTTTCCAGGGGAAAGCAAGCTCAGAGGTTGTGGTGGTTTACTATCCATTTTATTTTAACTTGCACTGATATGTCCCTCTCAAAAATGGAGGGTATAAAGTTCATGTGAGAAAAGCTCAGATTAACGAGAAGACAGTAGTTTGGGCTACTCTTCATTAGCAGTCATCCATCCCCTGCCATTACATGTGCATTACACCTGCTCGGAGGCCTCAGCCCATCCCATGGTGTTGGCAACTTGTCTGATGTGTGGCTGGCAATTCTGTCAAGAGGAGCATCTGAAATCTGTCCTAGGAAGGCAGCAGGTCTTTTTATGAACACCTCCTTTCACAAAGCTCAGTAGAAAGGTCCACAAGTCCCTTTGATTCATTAAGGTTTGGTTCACAAGCACCTCTAAAGAAATAAAACCAAATTTCCTCAACCTCTCACGCAAAAGTGTTGTCTCTGCAGGCTGCATCCAATGCATATGTTCCTTAGCAGCCTAAAGGAGCATGGGCAGTGGCTATGCAAAGGTCTTTTGACTGCAAAGCCAGCTGCTGACTCCAATGGGGACAGTCTGGAAGAATCACTCCTTCCTTCTTCCTACACATCACACAGAGTCCTCATAGCTTGTGAAGACCCTCAGCTCCGCGTTTTGGATCAGGTCCTCATAAGTGCTGGGGCAGTAGGTTTTGTACAGTTTTTCAGCCAGCGAGTTGCTCCCAGCAACCACAGCTTTCCGGTTGCGGTTCATGAAGTTCCACAAGTGCAGAGCATAGGAGTGGTTGAAGTCAGGGACTTTGTCCCATACATCGTAGTAGCGGCTCCAGGCTGGGTATGGGATGGGGTAGAAACGCTGCGGGTTTAGGAAGGAGATGTTCTGACAGCTGTGATCCTCAACGCCTTTGAAATCTGTGAGATTGCAGATGGCTTTAAGCATCCTCGTCATTAAAAAGGGCCCCTGGTTCCCCCAGATGTTCCCGTTGTACTTGAGAACAAAATTCTCCATGCAGTCCCAAATAAATTTGTGACGGGCAGGGAAACCAAAGATCCCGTTGCTGGAAAACCTTGACTTCTGTGCTGCCAGGAAGCTTCCCTCAGGGATGGGCCTGATGGAGATGACATCTGTGTCCATGTAGATGCCCCCATACTTCCAAATGAGCGCCAGTCTGCTGGCGTCAGAGCTGACATGGACCCAGTTCTTCTCCTCTTCGGGGTCTACCTGCAATCAGAAAAGCAAGGCAATAATGCACCCATCCACCCATCAGGATATGAGCTGCACCATAAAACACCCCTACACTACCAGTCCACGTGCCTTCAAATGCCACTGATTGCCTTTCCTTCCTAAAGCTATTGAATTTTATTGGAAAAAAAGAATAGTGTGGAGCAGAGCAATGCTTTGTTAATGTAAGGAACATTGGAACATTTCACTTTGTGTTCTTTGAAACTCACAGTGTTAAACCAGTGATGCCATGAATCATTGCTTGCTGTATTACTGAAGCTGAAACTACTTTAAATGTTCCCTTCCTTATCGCTCTCAGATCTTCCAAACAGGCCTGCAGGTTTCCATAGACTTTATTAGTTTGGAGAGCTATTTCTTCCTCAGGAAAAGGAAGAGTTTGAAGGAAATCCAGTTTCACCACTTGTCCTGCAGGGAGATGGAGCCAAACAAACCTGACAAAAGCTTATTGCAAGTAGTTTGCCAGGAGCTTGTTTTCAAGGTGGAGCTTGCGAGATCTCACCTTGGGTTTGGACATTGCGGGTACAAAAACTGAAATCTCTCTCACATCTAATCTCCTGTGGGCTGTATCAGTGTGTGGCAGCCTTAATAAGTGCTCAGAGGACTCGGGCAGACTAGCTTCTGTTGAGCAAGATTATTAAGTGCTGTTTTATCAAAACACATGTGCAATCTATTTTTACCAATGCTCTGTTTGCCAAAAATCTGATTCTCCAGATAGTGGGAAATTGCTGATATTATGTTCAGTAAACAGATAGATGAATACATTGCAAAACATGGCAAAAATAAACACGTTCTGAACCAGAACAATGAAAGTGACTGGTTTCTCATTGCCAAGCCTGCGCTCCTCCCTTCATTTCAAGCCTTCTTTGGAGTTTTCCCACCATCATTTCAACTTTTCCCTACTTCCCCCTCATCACGACCCTCACCTCGTTGTACCACTGCAGAAGAGGGGTCTCCTGGAAGACGTTTTCCATCTGGAGAGGAAAAAGGAAGACATTCTTCATAGAAGATAAAAGCGAGAAGGCCGTGTAGCTGGAGTTTGAGTCCAACACGGTGTCATTTGTCAGCCCCTTCATGAAGAGGATGATGGGCCGGTCCTGGTAGATCCTGGCAGCAGACTCCACGGAGCAGGACACCAGTGGTGGTGGTTCCAGGCGCTCTGTCGTCTCCAGGAAGATGATGCTTCTGCCCAGGTTGAGGACTTGCTCAGGTGTCAGGAATTGCTTGGGCATAGGCATACAGGAGAAGAAGCAGCCAGATAGCAAGGAGATCTCGTACAAAATGCCAGAGACGAAGAAGAAGCAGAGGCATATGTGGATTTTCTTCAACATTCTTGTTTTCCCTTGGGCTTTGAAGTGATGCCTCAGGCATATATGCTAAGGAGAAACAGGGAGAAGCAAAAATATGTATCTGTGTTACGGCTTAGCAGGACTGGGAGTTGTTGGACTAGCTTTGGAAAGTGTGGCATGAAGGTAGCATAATCATGCCTTTACTCTTAGCAGGAAGGCAGCATAGTGATACTCATGCCTTTCCCCCATAGCACTGCTCCTGGAGGTGTTCAGGAAATGTGGAGATGTGGCACTGAGGGATGGACCTTGTCAGTGGGCATGGTGGGGATGGGTTGTCATTTGCTCCTGATGATCTCAGTGGTCTTTTCCAACCTTAATGATTCTATGATTGTATGAAGGCAGCAAGGTGATGCTCATGCCTTCCCCCATAGCATGAAGGCAGCAGTGTGATACTCTTGCCTTTCCCCAGGACAAACCTGACATGAAACCTTGCAGTGCAGTGGGCTCTGCCTGAGGGATGAAGTGCTGTGTAGCCTCAACTCCTCACCCCCAACCAGAAACTGGGGACTTGGAGAAGTGCTGAAAAAGGGACACATGCCTACATCTCATGGCACAGCTATGCAGTTGCTGAGTTGGAAAAGACCCAGCGTGAGATGGGATGAGATTTTGGCACCTCACACCTGGAGTAGGCTATTGTAGTGAATGGTTCTCAAGCTTTGGAACATCATGCCAACATGTGCTTGTCCATCAGTAGATGTCCTTGGGATGTGAGAACCATAACCCCAAGGAGTTAAGGGGGCTGTGAGTGCCAGCAATGGGAAGACCATAGTTATAGCTTTGGATGTCTCAGCCAAAGGGAACATGAGCAGATAGGAACCAAAGTCTCTCTCAACCTGCTCACACCTCAGCTTTTATCCCAAAGTCTGTGAGGGACTCAGGTCCCACAGGGATGGAGGAACCAGCAGAAGGCAGATAGAGGACAGAAAGCACGCGGCTCTGTGCAAGCAAAGAGCTAGAAGATACCTGGATTATAGTTCTGATGAATCCACATTTCCAGCTTGTTCGTTGGCCATCAGGCCTCCTGGAAGCCCAGCTCTTGGAGGAAGACACCCAAACTGTCTGGATCATGCAAGGAGACTTCTGAAGGCAGCAGATGGATGCTCAGAGAAAAAGCGGCTTTACTTTCTCAGCCCAAGAGATGGTGTGAGGCCAATGAGGCCCTCCTAAAAGGACAAAGAAAGAACAGGTTTGGACATCTCCAGCCTGCATCAGCATTGTCCAGCTCTTCAATCCTAGTCTCACTGCAGCATGAGCCCATACAGCACCAAGGAGCTC